TAAGTCAACAGGATGTAAGAAAATAATACTCTCTACAAGCCCATGAAGGTTGAGTGAAGGAAGAGATCTGAAAGGGAGTCTAATTCACTTGCTTTCAGGCATTGGGCCTTCACATTGCCCTCAACATGTGGCTCTCAAGACTCTACATGATGCTCCCATGAGGAGCACCCTCACCACCTCAACCTAATATGACATATATCAGTTCACTTAGAAGGCCTCCCTGGTGGCCTAGAGATTAAGTCTCAGTGCTATGAAGCTATTGCCAGCCCTGCAGCATGAGTTTGATCTCAACCCCAAGCCAGAGAACTGACCCACATGGTGCAGCAAACCTCTCCTATCTCACCTGCTATTCACCTCAGCAGGATCTGCCTGTTCTGCTCCCCACTCTGTCTCTGGTGAATCCCTCTCCGACACACACTGTCGGCCTACACACCAGTTGTTTTAAACAAAATAATAATAACAGTTCCATTAGAAACATTTTTCAGAATTAAATAAATTTTGTTTCATAGTTAGCATTCAATCCCTTCTAGACTGTCCCTGTTGATCACCAGCATACAGTTCAAAACACTTAACCCATAAGATATCCATTATCTCCCCACAATGAAATCATTGTTCTTTTGCTTTGATTTCCTATTCAGTTATATGGCAGCCAGATATTCAAGTCAAATTTGTGTGTCTAGAGTAAGTCTTCTTTAGTTCATCATTTCACATGCAACCAATTCTCAAAGTCTGTTAATTATACTTTATTGACTCACAAATGTGTCCATTTTCTTGATACATTTTCTGAATTCTGGTTGTTTTCATCTGCTAATAATAGTAATTATTTATTGAAGGTTTGATTGTATTTATAGATCTATCTACTCTTCTAATCTTTCACATGGTAGGGAAAACAAATGCTGAAAAATTCTAATTAGCTTATCACTCCTCTACTGGAATTCCTCTAGTGATGCTTGAAAGAAGTTTGTGGGCCTATCAACTGGCTCATTTCTCATCTCTTATCACTTGGATTTCATACTGTGAGGTGAGTCAGCCTGAGTAGCATATCAATGGGTGCACGCCATCATTTTCTCATTTTCAAATCCTTGCACAGATTTTTTACATTATGAAACTTGGACTAAGCTCTGAAGAAAACAGGAGAAGGACCCAGAAATTCCTTGAGATTCTTGTTAGAAACTTTTTCTTCTAAAATTTGTCTTTTTCCTTCAGCCCTCCCTGGTGGCACTAGGGGTTAAAAGCGGCACTGAAGAGCTGTAGCCGCTGCAGTGCATTTTTAATCCCCAGCCCTGGACCTGACCCCCCTGGTGCAGCAGACCTCTCCTGACCCACCTGCTGCTCCCCTTAGCAGTGTACTCTATCAATCTGTCTGTTCTGTCCCCATTCTGTCTCTGGTGAATCTTCTCACTGCCCCTGCACCTCTGGCCTGTACCCCAGTTCTATCTGTATAAGTACATTTTTAAAAATCTTTATAAAAATAACAGAGATCTCATAAAGTCTTCTTCCATCATTCATCAATGATCAGATTTACTATAGGGGTACAAGTACGGTACCCTTCCAAATGAGGAAACCGACATTATACAATACAACAATAAGATACACAACTTTGGGCCCTCCCTGGTGGTGCAGCGGGTTAAAGCACAGCACTGGGAAGCCAGTCACTTCCGCATGAGTTCAATTCCCGCCTGCCCTGAAGGAGATCCACATGGCGTGGCAGACCTCTCCTGACCTGCCTGCTGCTCCCCTCAGCAGTGTGCTTCGTCGATCTGCCTGTTCTGCTCCCTGCTCTGTCTCTGGTGAATCCTCTCACCGTCCGCATCTTTGGCCTGTACCCCAATTCTGTATGAATAAATAAATTAAAAAAAAAGAAACAGAACTTATTTGGAATTAACTATTATTTTTTTTTCTTGATTCAGTTCTGTGAGATTTGCTTTGCCATCACAGGTTTGTGTAAACACCACAATCAAGGTCTGGAACTGTTCCATCACCCAAGTGAATTTCCCCCATCTACATCCCTAATACCTACCAACCACGCATCTTCCAAACACTCATCTGTTCTTCATTATTATAATTTTGTCATATTAATAATGTTATAGAAAAAGCACACAGTGGGGGCCTCCCTGGTGATACAATAGCCACTTCAGAATGAGTTTGATCCCTGGTAGGAAGGTGACCTCCATGGTGCAGCAGACCTGTCCTGTCTTGCCAACTGCTCCCCTCAGCAGCTTTGTCAATTTGCCTGTTCTCCTCTCTCTGTCTCTAGTGAATCCACTCACCGCCCCTCCATATCTGTCCTGTACCCCAGTTCTGCATGCATAAATAAATAAATCTTTAAAAAAATAAAAGAAAAAACACACAATTTACAATATAACATTTTAAATTTTATTTCTTTTACTCAACAAAATGTTCCTGAGATTCATCCTAGTTGAGCAAATCAGACATCTGTTCCTTTTTGTTCTGTCAGTTTTCTACTGTATAGATGAATGTAACCCAGTTTACACAGTTTATCCACCCCCTTGTTAAGGGACACTTGGGTTAACTCTAGTTCTCTTTTTCTATTTTTTTTTTTCCACTGGTGAAAATAAGGCTTCCAAAGTGTATAATGCTTATATAGTAGACTATTCTGTCTTAAAAAGGTCAAATATTCTGATAAGTGCTGCAACATGGATAATCTTACAGGTTTGTTAAGTGAAATAAGTCAGTCACAATAAAGAAAGAGAGAAAGAAAGAAAGAAAGAAATACTTATATGATTCCACTTGTTTGAGTCCTTAGAGTAGTCCAGATAATTGAGACAAAGTGTAGAACAGTCAGCAACTGGGGTGGGACTGGATATTAGGGTTGTTTAATGAGTATAGAGTTTCAATTAGGAATCAAACTTAGAGACATATGCTTAAGAATGTGAATGTACTTATGCAGATGAATTGTACATTCATGGTCAAACGGTCAGCTTTATGTAGTACATATTTTATACATGCATCATAAAAAATAGAAAAGTAAAATAAATGTATGAAAATAATATCATGCAGTGTAAGTAGTGAGGGAGAAAAAAAATGAAGTAAATGGAGAGGACAGAGAATGGCTGGGTAGGACTGTTTTAGATAAAGTGATTAAGGCAGGTTTCTCTGAGACAGAAATATGCGGAAACAAGAAAAAGAGCCAGCTGGACATGCACTGGCAGGATAATGGTAAGGATGGAGCTTAGGGAAAGAGCGCTCTTAGTGTGTTAAAGGCTACAGCGAGCCTTCTGTGACTCCATGGAAAAGTATGTGTACACAAGTACATGTCTGGTGCATATAATAAACATGTGTGTGCATTCATGGGTATCTTTATGTTTCTCTGCAGGAAGCAAGGGTTTTGGCATGACTAACTTTGTAAGCCCAGTTATTTTTTTTAAAGATTTATTTTATTTATGCATATGAACTGGGGTACAAGCCAGAGGACCAGGGGCGGTGAGAGGATTCACCAGAGACAGAGTGGGGAGCAGAACAGGGAGATGGAAGAAGCACACTGCTGAGGGAAGCAGTGGGTGAGACAGGAGAGGTCTGCTGTGCCATGTGGGTCAGCTCCCTGGCTGGGGATCGAACTCTTGCTGAAGCAGCTGCTGCCTCCTTCTCAGTGCAGTGCTTTAACCTGTGGTACCACCAGAGGCCTGTAAGTCCACTTATTATGGATCAGCAATGAGTACAGGAAAAGTTCTTGTCCACTGAAGGAGGAACTATGCAGTATTAAAACACAGTGACTAAACTCTGTGCAGAAACACTCCTGGGGAGAATTACTAAAAGTGTTTAAGGTGTAATTCTAAGAGTTGATTATTAATCTATGGCTAGCAGTTGAATATTAATCTGGGCTACACTGTCCCTGTTCATAAGGCTATTTGGGCCTCATGTGGCTGAATCCAGCCTCCTATTCATGTTGAACCATATCCCAGGTCAGCATCCCTGTCACTGATGTTCTGCTCTGTCGAAGACCCAGTAAGTCATTTCATTTTTTTAAAGATTTATTTATTTATGCATACAGGACTGGGATACAGGCCAGAGTTTAGGGGGCAGTGAGAGCATTCACCAGAGACAGAGTAGGGAGCAGAACAGGCATATCAATGAAGTACACTGCTGAGGAGAGCAGTGGGTGGGTCAGGAGAGGTGTGTTGTGCCATGTGGATCACCTCCTCACCTCCGGGGCTGGAGATCGAACTCCCACGGAAGAGGCCACTACCAGCTTCATGGTGCTACACTCCAACCTGCTGCGCCCACTAAGTCATTTTTAATTAATGGGTGTAGACTCCTAAGTCAAATATCCAGGAACTTGACCTGACCTTGGAGGCCAACAGAAAATTTTCAAGAGTGTGGAGTGGGGAGATAGCAGCAAAAGCCATGCTGAGGTATGAAGGTGTTTTTGCTTATGAGGGGGTATCTATAACTTTCCTGATCATATTTGAGGAGGGACAACTGAAGGAGAATTTTGAAGGACAGATGAAATTTCAGGATTGGTAAACAAAAGAGAAAATCGAGAAAGGTGATTTAATTGCCAGTAGTTTACACTCAAGAACACAGAATTCCTGCTGGGATGGAGAGAAGGATTTGACACCCTGCCAGGACAAAAGTAGTTTAAAAAATCCAGAAAAAGTGTTGCTAGGCAAGTTTCTCTTTCTTGGGAAATAAAGCATCAAGAAGAAGTGAAATCAAGGTAACTCTGGACTAAGTTGGTGACTGCCTCTCTGGATTACCAGTGCACGGCTTTCTGCCTCCAATGTGTAAGTGTTGGTTCACTGGCCCTGGCAGGCAGTAAACTGCCCAGATGAGAGGGTGGGATGCAGGTGGCAGGTGAACCCAAAATGAAGAGGAGGAAGAGAGGAGCTCCAACTGACTTCTGAGTCTCCACTTGCTCCCACCCCCTAAGCCAACTGGTAACATGTAGCCCTCTTTGCTCTCAAGGACATAGGACATATACATTGGTTAGCTGAATTGGAAAACATGATCTTCCTTTTTTTCAGATGAAGGTAAGGACCATGTCCCTGTCTTCAGTACTCCTTCTCGTTCTCCTGAATGTGGTAACAGTGTCTTACTCTGCAACAGAAGAGGATGAAAACACCCCACAGACCTGCCCTGCGATGGCCTGTGGCTGTCCAGGCCTCAATGGCTTTCCAGGCAAAGATGGCCGTGATGGTGCTAAGGGAGAGAAGGGTGAACCAGGTATACTTTTGCTGTTCTGCCTCTGTGGCTCTGCTTTGCAGACTAGGGTAATATCCTATTTAAGTAGGCTGCATTCCTTCAAATTGCATATGATGATTCAAAACAGAGATACAGCTCTGACTCTCTGGCACATGATGTTTCCAGACAAGAGTTGGTAAGATCTGTTTCCTTTCCCTGCTATGGAGTTTGGCTTTCAGGATAGGACATCCCTTGAGACTTAAGAGGACTTTCTTCTCTGGTTCTTTGGGAGAGCAGTGGCTTAGAATGCTTGGCCATGAGTCTATGTCTCCTTTCACCTACAAAAGGATTGGGCATCATATTCTTGCAGCTATAGAGCAAGAACACATATATTGAATTCTTTTCTTTGTCCTCCAATAGGTGAAGGTCCCAGAGGCCCACAGGGCCCTCCAGGAAAGTTGGGGCCTTCAGGAATTCAAGGGCTCCCTGGATTGGCAGGATCAAAGGGCCAAAAAGGGGACCCTGGAATATATCAAGGTAAGGGACCTACCTCAGCAAGGTCTAAACTGAGGGAATCCAGGTTACCAGGGGACACATGCCCCTCTGCTGTTTTAGAAGATGCCCAATTCTGTTTCCAAATGTGGTCTCCTAAGGCCCACCCCAGGGCCTCAGAGGAATCCTATCAGTGGCTAAATATGGACGCACAAACCGTTCAGGATCAATCTCTAAACTACACCTCTCTGGGGAACTGAATCCTGATTTTTCATTTGAAAAAATCCAATGTGAGACACTTGTCCAAAAGAAACAACAACAACGAAATGCTGGACTTATGTTCATTTTCAGTATTTAAGTGGCACGGCTTAGCTCCATAAAAGACATATAAGAAACCACACTCATTGATTTAAGTCACAACTTTGTGGATCAGCCAAACCTTAGCAATTTCATTCATATGTCTGCGGTCAACTAATACCCAGCAGTGTCACTTAAGTGTGTAGCTATTGTTTGTTTGTTGGCTCGGTGATGAGGGTAATGGAGCTACTGGTGTCTCATTATACAACAGGTTAGTTTCGTTTTTTTCACATAGAGGTTATTACTGTTTCCCAACAGTAGAACAAGCTTCCTGAAGACCTAGAACATCTCTACTAGCACTTCTGTCTTATGCTCTAGGTCACAAGTCACAAAACAAGCTCCCATTAGAGGAGAAGGAAAACACATTATTTCTTAGTGAGAGAATGGCCATATTGAGGCCATTCTGCCATTTATTACACACAGCTTGCCTCTTGGAAAATGGGCAACACATAAAAATCTCTTAACAGTAAATTTAACAATTAGGGCCTTCCCTGAGAAAGCACAGTTCTGAGAAACTAAAGCCACTTCAGCATGAGTTCGATCCTCACCCCAGAGGTGATTCATATGTTGCAGCAGACCTCTCCTGACCCGTCTGCTGCTCCCCTCAGCAGTGTACTTTGTCAATCTGCCTGTTCTGCTCCCCACTCTGTCTCTGGTGAAGCCTCTCACTGCCTCTGAGCCTCTGGCCTGTACCCCAGCTGTATATGCATAAATGAATAAATCGTTTAAAAAATTAATAATTAACAGGACAAATCTTGGGGGAAGCAAAATAAAGTAACAAAAACAAAACTTTCCAAAGGACAAAACCTTATAATTATTTAAGTCCATATTCAGTAGCTAATAATAATTTCCTAAGAGATTTACTTTTATCCATGATAGAATTACTTGGAAAAAAATTAGCAAAGTGCTTGGCTTATGGCATGTGCTCAGGCTAGGTCATCAGAGTGAGTATGTGTGCATGTGTTTGTGGGTGTGCACATGTGCATAAAATTCACCAGAAGAAGAGTGATGTATTAATCTGGGTGTTTTGGTCCTTCTTTTTATTTTCAGTATTTTACACTTCGCTGTAAAGAGCAAGGAGCAATGTAAAACAAACAAAAATTATATTTTATGTGAAACATTTCTCCTTCCCCATATAATCCTGAGACTTCATCATAACATTTTTCACTTTCTTTAAACTTTTTAGATTGTGCTCCATCATCGCTTGCTTCAGAAGTACAAGCTCTACGTAAAGAATTGGACCAAATCAAAAAGTGTAAGCTTTCTCTCTTTCCTTTCAGGCAGCTTCAACTTTGGCAAGGTAGATGGCAACAAATATGTATTAAAACATATTATTTCATAATATCTAGAGAGTTTTTTCTCATATTCTGATCTTATGAAACACCCATGATCACCTTCTGGTAGAACTAGTGGGAAAGGAATGTTAACTGTGTACTCAAACACACAGCTTTTATATGGCAGAGGTACCTTATGAATGAAAACTGAATCTGGAGGTTTCTCCTTGGTGGCACAAGGGGTTAGGACACAGCACTGCAAGCTAGCTTGAATCCGGTCCCTGGAGGTGACCCACAAGGCACAGCAGACCTCTCTTGTTTTGCCCGCTGCTCCCCTCAGGAGTGTACATCATTGATCTGCCTGTTCTGTTCCCTACTGTGATTCTAGTGAATCCTCTTACCTCCCTGCACCTCTGGCCTGTACTCCAGTACTGTATGCATAAATAAATAAATCTTTAAAAAAAACTAATTCTAGAGACCCTAATTCTGTGCTCTCTAGTAATTAAAGAGTAATTACTCTCTAGTAATGGGACCTGTTATGCTGATGTTGAGATGGGGCAATGTGGCTTTATACCATCAGGTGTAGGGCAAATATTCTCAGATATTTTTGTCCCAAGTTTATTTTGAGACAAATTCCAAATTCTAAATGATATGTGTTCCAGAACTCTGACACTAGAGGGAGAATATCAATGTTCATGTCTCTTTATTCAAATTAGGGGAGCTGCTGGATTTAACAAAGAAAAAGCATATAGCCCCTAAATCTGAATTTCAGATAAACAATTACTTTTATCTGTATTATCAGTATGTCCACAAAACTACATGGGACAAAATTATACACAAACACAAGCACTTCATCGTCACCTAATTTCAAACTTATGTGATAACTCCACTTGAGGTCTTTATCTAGAAAAATAACGGGTTGGGCTTAGTCAAGCCAATGTCACCCACATTTTCTCATTTTAGGGCTATTCTTCTCTTTGGGCAAAAGAGAGGGGAAGAAGTTCTTCTTGAACTATGGTGAAAAGAAGAATTTTGACAGAGTGAAAGCTTTGTGCACCCAGTTTGGAGCCTCTGTGGCCACCCCCAAGAATGAGGCAGAGAATAAAGCAATCCTGAAAGCAACCAAAGGAGATTCCTTCTTGGGCATCACAGACGAGAGGACTGAAGGCACATTTGAGGATCTGGCAGGGAATATTCAGACTTATCAAAATTGGAATAGTAAAGAACCCAACAATGCTGATTCTGGAGAAAACTGTGTGATACTCTTGAATAATGGCAAGTGGAATGACATCTCCTGCTCCAGTTCTGCGTATGCAGTCTGTGAGTTCCCTGTTTGAGGAGGCATCACCCTCAGGCCCTCCTTGTCCCTTTATCTCATAGACCTACAGGCTAGTTTAGAAGATTGATCTAGATCAACCAGTACACAGACATCTGTGGAGAATCAAAGACAATGAGAAGCATGAATTGAATGATGGATATGGAATTAAGAAGAGAACTGTGGGCAATGGTGCAATGAGAGTTTCTGGTTCAGACCCATTACTAACAATAACAATAAAATCATAATAGTAATAATATTAATAGTAGTAATAATAGGAATGGTAATAATAATAGTATAATAGTAATAATAGCAGCATTAGATAGAAGTGCCAATAATATATCTTTTCTAGTTTTGTGGTAATACAATTGATATATAGAGACATATAAGTTTAAGGTGTACTTCATCATCATTTAACAATTATATACTTTAAATGTCTACTGTGAGTCAGACCCTACATTATGAGTCTTGGGTCACTATATAAATTATTAAGATAATTTATTTAACATTAATATAATTTATATATTGTTAATTAGATAGTACACTTTTGTTTGAGTAATGTTAACTTGCTAAGGTACAAGAATAAAAATATATTTGTTTTTTCTCTTTACTGTTGTGTTCTCTTGAGTCTTTCTTATTAGGGTAGAGGGTTCACCAAATAAAACCCCTAGTCTAATTCATAGTTTTTCAGTTAATGAAAGACAACAAATTTATTTTGTAGCTTTCTTTCTGAAATGTATTTTATTTTAAATTAATGGTTAAACTATGTAAATAATATAGTTCGAGGAAACTGATTATTAAATACTCAGAAATGTACCCATGAAACCATATTCTAGATTAAAAACAACAGGTTATTTCTAGCATCCTAGAAGCTGTTTCATGAAACTTCTACTTGGTAGTCCCAAAGGTAAATATTATTCTGACATCTACTACCATACATTTATTTTGTATTTATATGAACTTCATATAGATGTTTTTGCACTATATATACTGTTTATGTTTCTTTCACTCAAAATTAAAGCTGTGATATTCATTTGCTTTGTTATGTGTTACATTACATTATTTCTCTTTCATGGACAGGTCTTTAGAGATGCATAATATATGAACATACCTCAATTTACCCATTCTATCATTAACAAACACTAGGATTACTTCCTAGTGTTTAATGAACACTGAGATTACTTGGATATCTGTTAAAATCTATTATTGTTTGTTTAAGTAGGTAATATCTTTCTGACTTGTGATAGTCAATTTTATATTCTGACTATACATGCCTTTGTATGTGTCACAATTTTTTCCCACCTTGTTACTTGTTCCCAGTGTTGATTTCTGATGAATAAAGGTTGTTAATTTCAAGAATCCCAATCTACCAAGATTTTCTTTTGTATTTAGAACTTTGTCCTGTTTAAGAAATATTTGTCTTTTCAAAATTGTAAAGATATTCTGTTTCCCCCGCTCCCAGTAGCTTTCATTTTAGATAGCTAGAATATCTCTCCCTAGTGGATGGCTGCTTAGTATAGTTCTATTTGTTGGAAAGACCATTCCCCACCCCTACCTCCATTGAAGTAAAATAGTGCCTTTTTGTTTTAAGTTACTTATCTACATATGTATATCTGGGTTTTCTAGACTGTTATACTGGCTTATTTGTTGATGCATGTACCAAATACTTTACTATGTTAGTTACCATTCAACATATATAGTTAGTTATACTAGGAACAGGTATGAATATCTTGTCATATAAGACTCCAAATTTTGTTATTCCTCAAGATTTCCTTCACTTTCTTTTTGTTATTTGCATTTCCATATGTATCTTAGAATCAACTTTTCAATTTCTACAAAAAAACAGCAAAAAAACTTCATTAATCATAACTATCTATTTAGGGAGAACTGACAACCTGCTACTGAGTCTCCAATTAATGATCATTTGGGGTATATGTTTCTTTTTAACTTAGATTTTTTTAACAGCTCTTACAATGTTTTGAAGATTTTTGTCTTTTTTTTTAAGATTTATTTATTTATTCATACAGAACTGGGGTACAGGCCAGAGATGCGGAGGGTGAGAGGATTCACAGGGACAGAGCGGGGAGCAGAACAGGCAGACTGACGAAGTACACTGCTGAGGGGAGCAGCGGGCAGGTCAGGAGAGGTCTGCGGTGCCATGTGGATCTCCTCCGGGGCAGGCTGGGATCGAACCCATGCGGAAGTGGTTTAGGTTTCTCAGTGCTGTGCTTTAACCTGCTGTGCCACCAGGGAGGGCCCTGTTTTGAAATTTTAAATGTAGAGGTCTTGAGTACCTTGTTTTGGTGATTTTAGAAATAATATACATTAATAAAATTTATTTTCTACAGTTCGCTGTATAGCAATGCACCTACTTTTTCATCTGAACTTTTTTCAGTCACCTCATTATGTCATTTTTAAAATCCAATGCTACAATTCTTCTGAACTTTCTGTATAAAAATCATATAATATGAAATAGATTCTTTCCCAATTGTTATTTTCCCCCTTGTTTTCCTTGATTATATATAGTATTCTATATATAGTATTCTATAGTTGTGGAATAAAATTTCAATATAATACTGAATAGAACATCCTTCCTAGTTCATTAGGCTGATTTTGTTTTATTTCATTAATTCAGATAATCTTCATCTTTTTAAGAAACTCCTCACTCCCTGGTGGAGCAAGTGTTTAAAGTGTAGCACTGTGAAGCTATAAGCATGAAGCATTAAGTTCGAACTCAGGCCAGGGAGGTGGCCTAGCAGACCTCTCCTTTTTCACCTGCTGCTCCCCTCAGCAATGAATTTTCAGTCATTTCACTTGTTCCATTCTCCAATCTGTCTCTGGTGACTCTTCTCACCCACCACACCTCTGGTTTGTACCCCAGTTCCTGTATGCATAAATAAATAAATATTTAAAAAATAACCAAAACTCTTATCTATAACTCAAATATTCTCCTAATAAGCTCCTATGCTTTGCTACAGAAATTTGTAAATGGGGGGTATCCTCCTTTCTATCACCCAATTCTTGCTTTCTTCTGGTGCTGGGTAAAGAGAAAGGAGGATGAGTCCTGAAATGACTAGTTATTGGGGCCTTGGTGAGGAGTTAAAGTCTCAGCACTATTAAGCTTTTGCCAGCCACTGTGGCATGAGTTAGATCCTGGGCCAGGGAGGTGACCCACATGGTTCAGCAGACCTCTCCTGTCTCGCCTGCTGCTCCCCTGAGCAGTGTATTTCATTAGATCTGTCTGTTCGGCTTCCAACAGTGTCTGATGAATCCTCTCACCTCCCCTCACACCTCTGGCCTGCATCCCGTTCTTATATGTATATAAATCAATCTTTAAAATAAATAAATAAATAAACGATTAGTTGTAATACTCATCTAACCTTTCTGTCTTTGCTATACCAGAAATTGTCCATAGATTACCTGTGGTTGGACAGAGTCTCAAAATAACTGAGTGAAGATTGACTTAATCAACAATACCTCTTGCATGGCTATCCCTGTAAGAATGTCCCACACTTTGACAGGTTCTCTATATATTCTAGTGACATCTGTCAGATCCAAAAATTATCTGGTAGTCAACAGATTAGTATTTGTCAACTGTGGTAAATCAAAATATCTCTGAAAATAGTTTCTGGAGATCTGGTCATTGATTTCAATTCTGGCAGCGTAGAATCTTCTGAATATTTTAAGGCAACAGAAATTACCTGAAAGAGTTTGACCTGTACACAGCTTGTCAAAAGAAAGTCAAATCACTTCAAAAATTAGGCATCAAATAATTGATAGAAAGATGAACATTTTATAGGCACTGGGTAAGGGAACTACATGATTCTGAAGAACACATGCAGCTTGGCCCCAGCACTCTCTATGCAGTGGCCAGCAGCCATGCCCCTTCCTCACACCCACCTTTGAGTTCCCAGTGTCCTCCAGGCTCTCTTCTCTGGGGAGTTATAAAGCCATGTTGTCATGCAGAGATGAGGGACGGAGCCTTGAGTTTGTCAACACTGGACATGCTCTCACCTGTAGTCCCACAATACGATTCTTTACTGTGCCTTTATCATCCTTGCCCCAGTCCTATCTGCACTGAGATATATAGTCTTCTTAAAATGGTCCTTCAGGCCCTCCCTGGTGGTGCAGCAGGTTAAAGCACTGCACTAAGAAGCTAAAGCCACTTCCGCATGAGTTCGATTCCCGCCTGCCCCAGAGGTGACCACATGGCGTGGCAGACCTCTCCTGACCCGCCCACTGCTCCCCTCAGCAGTGTACTTCATCGATCTGCCTGTTCTGCTTCCCGCTCTGTCTCTGGTGAAGCCTCTCACCCTCCGTATCTCTGGCCTGTACCACAGTTCTGTACAAATAAATAAATAAATCTTTAAAAAAAAAAATGGTACTTCAACCTTGGTGCCTGCTATGCCTATGTGCAAACCCAAGTCTTTACTGGCAGCATCCATATCAATTGTATTGTACAGAGGGTGTTTCCCTCTCCTGTTTACAAAATGTTGATATTTGATTCCCCTCCCCATATTTTTTTAATAAGGATTTATTTATTTGTGCATACAGAAATGGGGTATAGGCCAGAGGTGCAGGGGTGGTGAGAGGATTCACCAGAGACAGACAGAGTGGGAAGCAGAACAGGCAGATCAACGATTTACTTTCCTGATTCTGAACAATATATCAGAAAGACTATTTTAAAATGAAGTCACCAAATATCCCGCTAACAGCAGAGCCAGAGCACAATTTTCAGTACATATACAGCTGACTCTGAGGTACTGACAGTGTGGGCTTTAGTGAATCCTGCCTTGTGGGTGGTGAGCACCCTGGCATTTTATACACAAGCAGAGACTGAAGCATCTTATATGTAATGGTCAAAGAGAAGTGAATGTCTGAACAGGGCACACATGAAAATTGACATGATTTTTTGGGAACAAATTTCAATTTGATTTAATACATCATTGAACCAAAAGTGGTTAGAACGCTGTTGACAGAGGTGAGAAGGACTTTATGAAGAAGATACCGGACTTTGGTGAT